GTGTTGTGGGAGAGTGTGGGCAGGGTAGTGTGTTGTGGGAGAGTGTGGGCAGGGGTAGTGTGTTGTGGGAGAGTGTGGGCAGGGGTAGTGTGTTGTGGGAGAGTGTGGGCAGGGGTAGTGTGTTGTGGGAGAGTGTGGGCAGGGTAGTGTGTTGTGGGAGAGTGTGGGCAGGGTAGTGTGTTGTGGGAGAGTGTGGGCAGGGGTAGTGTGTTGTGGGAGAGTGTGGGCAGGGGTAGTGTGTTGTGGGAGAGTGTGGGCAGGGGTAGTGTGTTGTGGGAGAGTGTGGGCAGGGGTAGTGTGTTGTGGGAGAGTGTGGGCAGGGTAGTGTGTTGTGGGAGAGTGTGGGCAGGGGTAGTGTGTTGTGGGAGAGTGTGGGCAGGGGTAGTGTGTTGTGTGGAGAGTGTGGGCAGGGGTAGTGTGTTGTGGGAGAGTGTGGGCAGGGGTAGTGTGTTGTGGGAGAGTGTGGGCAGGGGTAGTGTGTTGTGGGAGAGTGTGGGCAGGGGTAGTGTGTTGGGAGAGGGTAGTGTGTTGTGGGGAGAGTGTGGGCAGGGGTAGTGTGTTGTGGGAGAGTGTGGGCAGGGGTAGTGTGTTGTGGGAGAGTGTGGGCAGGGGTAGTGTGTTGTGGGAGAGTGTGGGCAGGGGTAGTGTGTGTGGGAGAGTGTGGGCAGGGGTAGTGTGTTGTGGGAGAGTGTGGGCAGGGGTAGTGTGTTGTGGGAGAGTGTGGGCAGGGGTAGTGTGTTGTGGGAGAGTGTGGGCAGGGGTAGTGTGTTGTGGGAGAGTGTGGGCAGGGGTAGTGTGTTGTGGGAGAGTGTGGGCAGGGGTAGTGTGTTTGTGGGAGAGTGTGGGCAGGGGTAGTGTGTTGTGGGAGAGTGTGGGCAGGGGTAGTGTGTTGTGGGAGAGTGTGGGCAGGGGTAGTGTGTTGTGGGAGAGTGTGGGCAGGGGTAGTGTGTTGTGGGAGAGTGTGGGCAGGGGTAGTGTGTTGTGTTGGAGAGTGTGGGCAGGGGTAGTGTGTTGTGGGAGAGTGTGGGCAGGGGTAGTGTGTTGTGGGAGAGTGTGGGCAGGGGTAGTGTGTTGTGGGAGAGTGTGGGCAGGGGTAGTGTGTTGTGGGAGAGTGTGGGCAGGGGTAGTGTGTTGTGGGAGAGTGTGGGCAGGGGTAGTGTGTTGTGGGAGAGTGTGGGCAGGGGTAGTGTGTTGTGGGAGAGTGTGGGCAGGGGTAGTGTGTTGTGGGAGAGTGTGGGCAGGGGTAGTGTGTTGTGGGAGAGTGTGGGCAGGGGTAGTGTGTTGTGGGAGAGTGTGGGCAGGGGTAGTGTGTTGTGGGAGAGTGTGGGCAGGGGTAGTGTGTTGTGGGAGAGTGTGGGCAGGGGTAGTGTGTTGTGGGAGAGTGTGGGCAGGGGTAGTGTGTTGTGGGAGAGTGTGGGCAGGGGTAGTGTGTTGTGGGAGAGTGTGGGCAGGGGTAGTGTGTTGTGGGAGAGTGTGGGCAGGGGTAGTGTGTTGTGGGAGAGTGTGGGCAGGGGTAGTGTGTTGTGGGAGAGTGTGGGCAGGGGTAGTGTGTTGTGGGAGAGTGTGGGCAGTGGGTAGTGTGGGCAGGGGTGTGTGTTGTGGGAGAGTGTGGGCAGGGGTAGTGTGTTGTGGGAGAGTGTGGGCAGGGGTAGTGTGTTGTGGGAGAGTGTGGGCAGGGGTAGTGTGTTGTGGGAGAGTGTGGGCAGGGGTAGTGTGTTGTGGGAGAGTGTGGGCAGGGGTAGTGTGTTGTGGGAGAGTGTGGCAGGGGTAGTGTGTTGTGGGAGAGTGTGGGCAGGGGTAGTGTGTTGTGGGAGAGTGTGGGCAGGGGTAGTGTGTGTTGTGGGAGAGTGGGAGAGTGTGGGCAGGGGTAGTGTGTTGTGGGAGAGTGTGGGCAGGGGTAGTGTGTTGTGGGAGAGTGTGGGCAGGGGTAGTGTGTTGTGGGAGAGTGTGGGCAGGGGTAGTGTGTTGTGGGAGAGTGTGGGCAGGGGTAGTGTGTTGTGGGAGAGTGTGGGCAGGGGTAGTGTGTTGTGGGAGAGTGTGGGCAGGGGTAGTGTGTTGTGGGAGAGTGTGGGCAGGGGTAGTGTGTTGTGGGAGAGTGTGGGCAGGGGTAGTGTGTTGTGGGAGAGTGTGGGCAGGGGTAGTGTGTTGTGGGAGAGTGTGGGCAGGGGTAGTGTGTTGTGGGAGAGTGTGGGCAGGGGTAGTGTGTTGTGGGAGAGTGTGGGCAGGGGTAGTGTGTTGTGGGAGAGTGTGGGCAGGGGTAGTGTGTGTTGTGGGAGAGTGTGGGCAGGGGTAGTGTGTTGTGGGAGAGTGTGGGCAGGGGTAGTGTGTTGTGGGAGAGTGTGGGCAGGGGTAGTGTGTTGTGGGAGAGTGTGGGCAGGGGGTAGTGTGTTGTGGGAGAGTGTGGGCAGGGGTAGTGTGTTGTGGGAGAGTGTGGGCAGGGGTAGTGTGTTGTGGGAGAGTGTGGGCAGGGGTAGTGTGTTGTGGGAGAGTGTGGGCAGGGTAGTAGTGTGTTGTGGGAGAGTGTGGGCAGGGGTAGTGTGTTGTGGGAGAGTGTGGGCAGGGGTAGTGTGTTGTGGGAGAGTGTGGGCAGGGGTAGTGTGTTGTGGGAGAGTGTGGGCAGGGGTAGTGTGTTGTGGGAGAGTGTGGGCAGGGGTAGTGTGTTGTGGGAGAGTGTGGGCAGGGGTAGTGTGTTGTGGGAGAGTGTGGGCAGGGGTAGTGTGTTGTGGGAGAGTGTGGGCAGGGGTAGTGTGTTGTGGGAGAGTGTGGGCAGGGGTAGTGTGTTGTGGGAGAGTGTGGGCAGGGGTAGTGTGTTGTGGGAGAGTGTGGGCAGGGGTAGTGTGTTGTGGGAGAGTGTGGGCAGGGGTAGTGTGTTGTGGGAGAGTGTGGGCAAGGGTAGTGTGTTGTGGGAGAGTGTGGGCAGTGTGTTGTGGGGGTAGTGTGTTGTGGGAGAGTGTGGGCAGGGGTAGTGTGTTGTGGGAGAGTGTGGGCAGGGGTAGTGTGTTGTGGGAGAGTGTGGGCAGGGGTAGTGTGTTGTGGGAGAGTGTGGGCAGGGGTAGTGTGTTGTGGGAGAGTGTGGGCAGGGGTAGTGTGTTGTGGGAGAGTGTGGGCAGGGGTAGTGTGTTTGTGGGAGAGTGTGGGCAGGGGTAGTGTGTTGTGGGAGAGTGTGGGCAGGGGTAGTGTGTTGTGGGAGAGTGTGGGCAAGGGTAGTGTGTTGTGGGAGAGTGTGGGCAGGGGTAGTGTGTTGTGGGAGAGTGTGGGCAGGGGTAGTGTGTTGTGGGAGAGTGTGGGCAGGGTAGTGTGTTGTGGGAGAGTGTGGGCAGGGTAGTGTGTTGTGGGAGAGTGTGGGCAGGGGTAGTGTGTTGTGGGAGAGTGTGGGCAGGGGTAGTGTGTGTTGTGGGAGAGTGTGGGCAGGGGTAGTGTGTTGTGGGAGAGTGTGGGCAGGGGTAGTGTGTTGTGGGAGAGTGTGGGCAGGGGTAGTGTGTTGTGGGAGAGTGTGGGCAGGGGTAGTGTGTTGTGGGAGAGTGTGTGGCAAGGGTAGTGTGTTGTGGGAGAGTGTGGGCAGGGGTAGTGTGTTGTGGGAGAGTGTGGGCAGGGGTAGTGTGTTGTGGGAGAGTGTGGGCAGGGTAGTGTGTTGTGGGAGAGTGTGGGCAGGGGTAGTGTGTTGTGGGAGAGTGTGGGCAGGGGTAGTGTGTTGTGGGAGAGTGTGGGCAGGGGTAGTGTGTTGTGGGAGAGTGTGGGCAGGGGTAGTGTGTTGTGGGAGAGTGTGGGCAGGGGTAGTGTGTTGTGGGAGAGTGTGGGCAGGGGTAGTGTGTTGTGGGAGAGTGTGGGCAAGGGTAGTGTGTTGTGGGAGGTGTGGGCAAGGGTAGTGTGTTGTGGGAGAGTGTGGGCAGGGGTAGTGTGTTGTGGAGAGTGTGGGCAGGGGTAGTGTGTTGGGGAGAGTGTGGGCAGGGGTAGTGTGTTGTGGGAGAGTGTGGGCAGGGGTAGTGTGTTGTGGGAGAGTGTGGGCAGGGGTAGTGTGTTGGGAGGAGTGTGGGCAGGGGTAGTGTGTTGTGGGAGAGTGTGGGCAGGGGTAGTGTGTTGTGGGAGAGTGTGGGCAGGGGTAGTGTGTTGTGGGAGAGTGTGGGCAAGGGTAGTGTGTTGTGGGAGAGTGTGGGCAAGGGTAGTGTGTTGTGGGAGAGTGTGGGCAGGGGTAGTGTGTTGTGGGAGAGTGTGGGCAGGGGTAGTGTGTTGTGGGAGAGTGTGGGCAGGGGTAGTGTGTTGTGGGAGAGTGTGGGCAGGGGTGTGTTGTGGGAGAGTGTGGGCAGGGGTAGTGTGTTGTGGGAGAGTGTGGGCAGGGGTAGTGTGTTGTGGGAGAGTGTGGGCAGGGGTAGTGTGTTGTGGGAGAGTGTGGGCAGGGGTAGTGTGTTGTGGGAGAGTGTGGGCAAGGGTAGTGTGTTGTGGGAGAGTGTGGGCAGGGGTAGTGTGTTGTGGGAGAGTGTGGGCAGGGGTAGTGTGTTGTGGGAGAGTGTGGGCAGGGTATTTGCTTTGGGAGTTGTGTGCAGGCATGGGAGAGGCTGGTCCCAAGCCTGCACACAGAAATAACATCACATAAGACCAGAAGACATGGCAGGATGTGCAGAATACCCCCGTTGAAAAGCAGAGGTGCAACAGGCACTGAGAAAGAACTCTTTCAATATCAGACTGTTCAACACGCTTCGGGGCATAACAGGCCGACCCCTCACAGTGTTCAAAACAGAACTCGATAAACACCTCCAAAAGCTACCTGATCAACCAGGCTGTAATATGTATATACATTAGGCTACGAGCAGCCGTGGCCAACAGCCTGGTCGACCAGTCCAGCAACCAGGAAGCCTGGTCGGGGGACCAGACTTTATCAAAATCCTCAGATTAGGCAAAATTGTAATTAATTTTGTTAATAAAGATGTTAATAATAATAATAACTAAGACCTGAAAGTGATGCCGTGTGATAGAAGCCTCTCTAAATTAATCCTCAAACTGCGCCGTTTCAGAACTGTTACAATTTGATAGAAACAAAAGTAAACTTGCCCCGGAATTCTTTCTTGGTAATTAAGAAAGCGTTATATAGTGATGCGTGTGTGGTGGTGTTGTGTGGTGGTGGTTGTGGTGGGGTGGGCTGGGCTCCCCACCACCACCCCACAGCGGACACAGCCCAGGGGCCGCCAGCCGCCCCCCCGCCAGCCGCCCCCCCGCCAGCAGCCCGACAACTGGGATGGACAGTCGACCTGGTTCCAGTCTTCTTGTAAGTTATTATTTCTTAATGATAATTTGGTTTGGTATTTTCAATTGAATCTTACAATAACACTATCATTATATATGTGTTCGTTTCGATATTTTGTATATATATATAATATATATATATATATATATATATATATATATATAATTATTCTTTGGGGCACACGTGAGGAACACAAATGCGAGTTTTCAGTTGCATGTATGCCTGGGGACCATTCAGGCTTGTTCGCATTTGTGTTCCTCACGTGTGCCCCAAAGAATGAGGTGATTTGATAAAATACTATGCCCAAGATTACCATCAGAGTGCCGGCGGGCTGATGGGCAAATTGCCTCGGCTACCATTAGCTTTTGTCCGGTCGTGATGGTCGAGTGGATAAGGTGCCCTGTACACCAGTTGCATAGTGCTCCTGGCAGTATGGGTTCGAGTCACTTCTGGGGTTTGAGTTTTCAGTTGCATGTATGTCTGGGGACCATTCAGGCTTGTTCGCATATATATATATATATATATATATATATATATATATATATATATATATTAGTATTAGTATATTTTGGTAGCAGTCTTTCTTGTAAACATATCTTGTTGAATATGACCAAAAAGGTAAGATTAATAATTCTAACACGAATCTCGAGACATAGGGACTGCCAGAAGGAAGTCCCCTGCATGGGGAGCCTGCACAGCTGTGAGGCGTGCACGATCACTGGGGGTTGTTGCTGCCTCCAGCAAAGCTGTGGCTTCTTTGTCTACAATGGGGCTGTCCCAACTGGATTGTTTCTTGGCTTTCGGCATGGCTGGTCTGAGTGCTGGCTCTGTCATGGCACCCCATTTCGTGTCGCATTCCGTGTAGTGGGGGTCCTGTATCCCCGCTACATCACTCAGGGTGGCAGGTAGAATTTCCTTAACCAGGTCATCTGATGCTGAGGAGGAAGACAGGAAGGCTGGGACAGCAATTTGGGTGGCGGTGAGGACACCCAAGCCGCTGAGTCTGGCTGTGGTGTGAAAGAGTGGCTGGTTTCCACAGCCAGTCATTGAGACAGGTTGACAACTTTTTCTAGCATGATCTTCAGCAATAAGTCATACTCTTCAAGCTTTGGGCTGTCGTAAGATGGGGCGCACCTCAGAATGTCGGTAAGTTAGGGAGCCGGTCGGCCGACCGGACAGCACGCTTGACTTGTGATCCTGTGGTCCCGGGTTCGATCCCGGGCGCCGGCGAGACACAATGGGGAGAGTTTCTTTCACCCTATGCCCCTGTTACCTAGCAGTAAAATAGGTACCTGGGTGTTAGTCAGCTGTCACGGGCTGCTTCCTGGGGGTGGAAGCCTGGTCGAGGACCGGGCCGCGAGGACACTAAAAAAAAAGCCCCGAAATCATCTCAAGATAACCTCAAGAAGAAGATAGCCTCGGAAGGGATAGGCATTTATCGAGGAGATAAAAAGCATCGTGGGCATCGATGTCACCTATCCTGTCTTCCATCCTCTTGAGGTCTGTGATTTTCTTATCAAGGATCTCCTCGCTGGCGTTAGACCCGAGGGGGGCTCCAAGGAGAGTGCTGTTCTCAGCCCTAATGACATGAGCTCCGGGGAAGGCAGACTTTATGCTAGCTATGATGTCTGGGTTGGAGGAGACTACTTCACACTTGGAAGGGTTCAGGAAGAGACCCAGGCTTACTTCTTACTCCTTTATTTTTCTGATGTCTTACAAGAAGTGGTCTACGGTGCCAGCTATAGTGCCATCATCCAAAAACCAGATGTTGAACTCGCTGGACAAGCTTTCGGTGATTTCTTTTAAGACTAAGCAGAAGAGAAGGGGAGCAAGAGGATCACCTTGCTGAACACCTTCACATGATCTGATTTCATGTTCACCAAAGAGCAGTTTTGACTCGCCACTGTAGCATTATAGTATGAACGGGTAGAGGGGCCGGAAATGGCGATGTACGGCACAAAGTACTGCATCTCTTCTTACCATGTTGAAGGCATTCTTAAAGTCCAGTTTGAGCAGGGCCTTTTCATCAGAAATGTTTGTGATGTATGCTCGTGCTGCATGGGCAGCCGCTTCACAGTCTTGGGGGATTCCAAATCCTAGCTGGATTGGTTTCAGCAATTCAGCCGCTTGCTGGCTGACAACCCTCGTGGCAGCCTTGGCAACCAGGCGTCGAAGAGTGTTGCCAACAGTTATTGGCCTAATTCCCTCGTCTTTCTTTTTGAGAGCACAAAAGCCCATCCAGGTGCCAGGTACAGTCCAGATGACCTTAGCAAGAGAATTACACTGAATTACTCCTCTCACAACTTTATTTTTTCCTTACATACCTTACCTATTATGAAGTAGTCAAACTTACATAGTTCTTTTATAAGAGCGTCATATCACTGGTTAAGGGAAGAAAGAGAAGAGACATGATTACTACATACAAAATGCTCGGGGGATAAGGATAGATAAGACAATGTGCAGATAAGGACAGAATATGGAGGATAGATAGTGCACTAACCTGAGGGACACAAGTGGAAACTAATTAACCAAACTACTCTTGAGAGATTATAAATAAAGAGGATAGTGTCAGAACAAGTACAATACACTAATAGATGAGGCGAGGGAGGCAAACTCCACACGTAACGTCTCATGTTGATATGACGGAGGGCAGCAGAACCTGGAGCCAGATTCACGAAGCAGTTACGCAAGCACTTACGAACCTGGGGCCAGATTCACGAAGCAGTTACGCAAGCACTTACGAACGTGTACATCTTTCCTCAATCTTTGACGGCTTTGGTTACATTTATTAAACAGTTTGCAAGCATGAAAACTTCCCATTCGACTGTTGTTATTGTTATAAACAGCCTCCTGGTGCTTCGGAGCTCATTAACTGTTTAATAATTGTAAACAAAGCCGCCAAAGATTGAGAAAAGATGTACAGGTTCGTAAGTGTTTGCGTAAGTGCTTTCGTGAATCTGACCCCTGTATATCTTTCCTCAATCTTTGGCGGCTTTGTTTACAATTATTAAACAGTTAATGAGCTCCGAAGCACCAGGAGGCTGTTTATAACAATAACAACAGTTGATTGGAAAATTTTCATGTTTAATAAATGTAACCAAAGCCGTCAAAGATTGAGGAAAGATGTACACGTTCGTAAGTGCTTGCGTAACTGCTTCGTGAATCTGGCCCCAGGTTCGTAAGTGCTTGCGTAACTGCTTCGTGAATTTTGCCCCTGGTACTGGTACACTAGATGACTAATAGTTCAGACGCCCAAGAACAGTGGCTCATTCCCCGCAGATAGGCGAGTACCGCGGTTCCCAAGCCACCCCAGCCACACCCTGCCACCCCCTGCCACACCCTGCCACACCCTGCCACCCCCTGCCACACCCTGCCACCCCCTGCCACCCCCAGCCACCCCCTGCCACACCCCTGCCACCCCCAGCCACCCCCTGCCACACCCTGCCACACCCTGCCACCCCCTGCCACCCCAGCCACCCCCTGCCACCCCAGCCACACCCTGCCACCCCAGCCACACCCTGCCACCCCCTGCCACACCCTGCCACCCCTGCCACACCCTGCCACCCCAGCTGCCACCCCTGCCACACCCTGCCACCCCATGCCACACCCTGTCACACCCTGCCATCCCAGCCACACCCTGCCACCCCCAGCCACACCCTGCCACCCCCAGCCACCCCAGCCACACCCTGCCACCCCCTGCCACCCCCTGCACACCCCCAGCCACCCCCTGCCACCCCCCAGCCACCCCCTGCCACCCCTGCCACACCCTGCCACACCCCCCCACCCTGCCACCCCTGCCACCCCCTGCCACCCCAGCCACCCCTGCCACCCCAGCCACACCCTGCCACACCCAGCCACACCCTGCCACCCCTGCCACACCCTGCACAGCCTCCCTGCCACACCCTGCCACACCCTGCCACCCCTGCCACACCCAGCCACCCCCTGCCACCCCAGCCACACCCTGCCAGACCCTGCCACACCCTGCCACCCCAGCCACCCCCTGCCACACCCTGCCACCCCAGCCACACCCTGCCACCCCAGCCTACCCCCTGCCACACCCTGCCACACCCAGCCACACCCTGCCACACCCTGCCAACATCCCAGCCCACACCCTGCCACCCCCAGCCACACCCTGCCACCCCCAGCCACACCCTGCCACCCCCTGCCACCCCAGCCACCCCCTGCCACACCCTGCCACACCCAGCCACACCCTGCCACCCCAGCCACACCCTGCCACACCCTGCAACACCCTGCCACCCTGTAACCCCAGCACACCCTGCCACCCCAGCCACACCCAGCCACCCCTGCCACACCCTGCCACCCCCAGCCACACCCTCCACCCCAGCCACACCCTGCCACCCCCAGCCACACCCTGCCACCCCCAGCCACACCCTGCCACCCCCAGCACACCCTGCCACCCCAGCCACACCCTGCCACCCCAGCCACACCCTGCCACCCCAGCCACACCCTGCCACCCCAGCCACACCCTGCCACCCCCCACAGCCACCCCCAGCCACACCCTGCCACCCCAGCCACACCCTGCCACCCCCAGCCACACCCTGCCACCCCCAGCCACACCCTGCCACCCCCAGCCACACCCTGCCACCCCAAGCCACCCCCTGCCACCCCAGCCACACCCTGCCACCCCTGCCACACCCAGCCACCCCCTGCCACACCCTGCCACCCCAGCCACACCCTGCCACCCCAGCCACACCCTGCCACACCCTGCCACCCCCCAGCCACACCCTGCCACCCCCTGCCACACCCTGCCACACCCTGCCACACCCTGCCACACCCTGCACCCCCTGCCACACCCTGCCACCCCCTGCCACACCCTGCCACCCCCTGCCACCCCAGCCACACCCTGCCAGACCCCTGCCACCCCAGCCACCCCCTGCCACCCCCTGCCACACCCTGCCACCCCAGCCCACACCCTGCCACCCCAGCCACCCCCTGCCACACCCTGCCACCCCAGCCACACCCTGCCATCCCAGCCACACCCTGCCACCCCCAGCCACCCC